GAATCAAATATTTCAAGAACCTTACCAAGTAAAATTTTCTTACTCCATTGGCAGAAATTTTTGACTTGAGTCAAATTTTCAGACCAACAAAGACAAATAATCTTACACATCCTGAAAACAAGATTATTATTCTTACACAATCAGTTCTTGTTTAGTAAATCAGTCTCAAAACAAGATGAAAAAGACTTTTTGGCTGATATAAGAGTTTAAAACTTGGTTAGATGGACAGTTTTTGCAGTGTACCACTGACCGACTACTGGCATGGCAAGTGGTTTGTCAAACAGAAGTGGGCCAGGTATGGCAATGATGGCACTGTTTATATGATGGCAAACCACCACTGGCCCAGTTGAAGTTTGGTTTATGTGGTGCTGGTCCAAGCATAGACCACCTCTGGCCAACCACATCTGGGCCACCAAGGGGTCGTCGATCTTTGCTGGATCTGGGCTGAGTGTTAGAACACTGTGTGGGCCAGAATTGGGCCAGACTAATTTTGCTATGTGGGTCTATTGTTTACCAGAGAAACAGTGAAATATGTAATAAGTTTTACAAGAATCTAAAGTATCTTTAAGGTGTTTATTATAAAAATATGGTACACATAAATACCATAAAAACACATTATTCAGGTAGTAAAATAAATAAATACCATAATTATCCAGGTTGGGATACGGTAAAGCACAAAGTAACAAGACTGCATTTAATGACATATATATATATATATATATATATATATATATAATGAAATCCAACATTTTGACTGCATTCTTGAAGCCCTCATGCATGAAGAAACTATCACATTTATGTTGAAAGAACTTTTTCTTTAACTCATTCTTCAAAGCATAATCTGACTTTTGATGATTAAATTTCTTTGGTCAGATTCCATATTTTATTGCTCCGGATCCAAGAAGTCTACCTTCCATTCCTGAAAATGTAAGTATGTTTGGTTGCATTAAACCCAATGTTGATCTCTTCTCCTGGATAAACAGAAAACGGTTTTGCTAACACATGTTTTGGTTTGTGTGTGGGTTTGCCAGAGGAACCTAACAGAGCTGATTGTAGCAGTAGACGTTGGGAACCTTCTTCAGCTTTATGCCAGCATGCTGTTTGAGAGACGCATCCTCATATTCGCAAGCAAACTGAGCACCGTAAGAGACTCATTTTGGTTCGCTGTTTTATTTTTAGTTCAACATTTATGTCTGGGTGGAGAAGCATTTTCACATTTCTGAAGCCTTACTTCAACTAAGAGTTACATGTAACTAATGAAGTTTTCTTTCCAATCCAATTTAATTCTGAGATTTAAGACTTTAATATTTCATCCTTCACAGAAAAGAAGATAAAATAATTGTTCAAAACAGACTTGTGTGTTGTGTAAAAATATTTTCTGTCTTGTTTGTGTAGCTAACATCGTGCATGCATGCATTAAGCGCTGTGTTGTACCCAATGTACTGGCAACACATCTTCATACCTGTACTGCCACCACACCTGCTGGACTACTGCTGGTGAAGAGCTACCCACCCACACACCCCACATCTCATACCTCATCACTTTGAAACTGAGTTTTTAATTTTTGTTATCTTGTGGTTACAGTGCACCCATGCCTTATCTAATTGGAGTCCACACCAGTCTCTCTGAGGTAAACTGCTCATTAGAGCACTCCCATTGTATCTCACCAGTTATCAGATGTGTATAAAGTGCTTGAAAAGATAATGAAGTAGAAGTAAAAATGCCTTAACAATAAAAAGACTGGTAAAAATGAATTTCACTGATTTGAAGGTTGAAGTTATAAAACTGCTCACAATAATCAGGAAAGTAAAAGTACTTTTACAAACACTGTAAGAAATGTAGTGTTGAATTTACTCAACTCGTGGAACCAGTTGATGTAACCTGGATGAGTAAATTGCTTTACATTTAACGGGACAGTTGCAACATTGTTTGGGGGTGGTTGCAACATATTAATACAATATATTTAACTGTAAATAAGTTTTATTATTTTTATATTTATATTATTGCTAAATTCATAAAACTGTCAGTTATAATGATATTACAGTGTTATTTATTTATTCATTTTGATCAAATGATGAGTAGACCTTATATACAGATGTCAAAGACTAATTGATTTAAAATGGAGTTGACTTTTTGAGGCAAGGATAACAGAACAATTTGTGAGGCAATTAACTTTTGTTTTGTTGTCACTGTACGCCTACATTATGCAAAATTTACATTGAAACAAAATGGGATTTTAAAACCATTGTTGAAAACAACAACTGTGGAAAATACATCTTAAACACCTTTATGTTTTAAACTATAAAATTGTCATGAATACCCAATACCCTTTTAAGTGTAAACTTAATTTCAACATCTTAATATCATCTGTATGTGCTCTGTTTTTATGTGGATTTATCATATGGGGACAGTTGCAACAACTGTTACAACTGTCCCCCTTCCTGTCAGCCATGATAAAACCACATGTGTTAGCTAAATAAGCTCATCTGGATACATGTTAACTATATTAGTTAAAAGTCAACATATCACTTGTTTAAACCATATAAGTTTGAGCTGTATCACAGAAACAGTGACAGCAGTATAACAAAAATAAAGCTGAGCAAAAAAAAAAAAAAAATACTTTGGTTCCCCAAAAACAGTTTTTTTTTTTCAAATACTGTAAATCCTGGAGCAGTTTTTGAATCTGCTTTCTTTTTCTTTGGGAGGTGGGACATCTAACTGAGCATGTACACTGTGAGTTTTATCACTCTAGCTTGTTTCTATTTGGAGAAAAATGACGTGTTGCAACCGTCCCTTGTTGCTACTGTCCCCGGTCTCCCCTACTCAGCTTGGTTTAGTGGAACCATTTGGCATAATCTGGTTTAGTAAATTAAACACTTATTTTTAAAAGTAAACAACTCTTTTCATTAGTTCCGATCATTTAAAAATTTGTAACATGTAATGAGATGTTAAATATTAAAGAAATAAAAGTATGACAGCTATGTTTTGAATGTAACAAAGTTAAAAAAACTTATTAGATTTACAATCCTCAAAAAAATTACTTAAGTACTTTGATGAAGTAAATGTATGTCATTACTATGAACCTCTGATGGTTACATGAATTCATCAGGTTTGTCTGAACATGCTGACAACTGATCAAACTATATCTGTCTGCCAACTAGAGGGTGAGAAGTCGTGGGTTGGAGGAAGTTGTTATTCTTAATGTGGACACAAATACTCTTGAAACCCCCTTTGATGACCTTAAGAGGATACCTTCAGATGTGGTAAAAATYTCCTTTCTGTCTGCTTTACTGAAACYAYWTGRTTTGCAAAAGTTAGAAGCRAAAGCTTAAGATTTGACAAATAAARTAWACACAAAACGTTAATACCAGATACAAGGTTTTTTTAAAAACTCATGAGGTCACAAGAACGTATCTTGGACRAAATTATGAAAAATCCTGTTTAAATTGGAAAAAAAGAGAGAGAAGATATGGGTAAAATATATGGTGCACATGTATGTAGGTGCCATTTGTTATGATCAGTGGCAATTTGAAAACAACTAGTGAGTAAAATATTTTGTCACCATGAAAACTGTAGTAAAGTATTTATGAAAGAAATCTTGAACACTGCTTCTTGTATGTTTTGCACTTTTTCACCACCATTGTTTTACATGTTGGACTCATTACAAAGCAGCCATGATTTTTTTGACTTGTTTAAAATATGAATTTGTAACTATGTATCCAGATGTCCGGTCTGAAGGTGTGCTTAAAGCGTCAGGCGTTGTCACCTGGCTGTGGTGTGTCTCGGGCATTCCTGAAAGCTCAAGCTCTACTGTTTGGAGGGTACAAGGATGCTCTTCAGAAGAATAAGGTCTGGAATTTATGGAAAACCTTGGACAAACAAACAAACAAAAAAACACTATATATATA